CAAAAAGTAAATGTCATGGACCAATCTAACGTTTCAAATAAAGAACCGATGAGATTTTGCAAATTTTATGCGTTTTTTTTTTTAAAAAAAGTTATCAAGCTCTTAACAAATCACTCTTTATGTACTTCATTGGGTCTGACATGAGTATTTCGAGGAGTTACAAACGGAATGAAAATGTTAATATACCCTCCATGGTAAAGTGTAGAGCATAACAAATATTTGAGGCAAATCGTATATTTTGTCAACTACCTTATTATGTTCGAAAAATGAAGTGATTTTCACAGAAGTACGTAAATGGCTAGATCGACTTAGAACCTAGTGTAGATGAAGAATATACATATGTAGGGTAAGTGTACAAGTAGTCGGCACTTTTAGGATTTTCGCGTTGTTAATCGCTCACAATTCTGAATGGAACTTTTCAATTATTACAAAGTTAATTTATTCAGATTCGAAATTTTGTATAGTTTTTGCAATCTATATCTATAAAAGAGGAAAATGTTTGTATGTTTGTTTGTTTGTAATTTATGGACTCGAAACCCGCTGAATAGATTTTCCTGAAAATTTCCATATATACTGCAACATCGTCTGAAAGTAACATAGGCTATATACATTTTTTAATTTCCACTTGGAACTGGAGATATAGCATCAGAATCGGAGGTACCTCCCAAAAATTTAGATTTTATATGCACATATCTATTGATTGGTTGAAGATACAGTCTCCAAATTTGGAATACGTAATGGAATTTGGAACAAAAATAAGTTTGCCAAATTATATTGTAATCGGTTCAGATTTGGATATAGCTCCCATATATATTTTCGACCGATTTCGTTCATTTGATGCCTCAAACACAATATGAATGTTCGATTCCAATGAAATTTGGAATGTGTGACGGGATTTAATCCGAAAATAAATTTTTCAAATTATATTGAAATCGGTTCAGATTTGTATATAGCTCCCATATACATTTTCGGCCGATTTCAAGCATTTGATGCACCAAACGCGCTATGTATACCCAATTTCAACGAAATTTGAAACGTGTGATAGATTTTATCTAAAAAATTGATTTCCCAAATTATATTGAAATCGGTTCAGATTTGGATATAGCTCCCATATGCATTTTCGGCCGATTCCATGTATTTGGTGGACCAAACACGATATGTATTTCCAATTGTAATAAAATTTAAAATAAGTAACGGAATTGGGAGCCAAAATGAATTTGTCAAATTAAATTGAAATCGGTTCAGATTTGGATATAGCTCCCATATATATTTTCCGCCGATTTCACATATTTGATGCACCAAACACGCTATGTATCTCTAATTTCAATGAAATTTGGAATGTGTAGCGGAAATTAAAACAAATATACATTTGTCAAATTATATTAAAATCTGTTCAGATTTGGATGTAGCTCTCATATATATTTTCGGCCGATTTCAGGTATTTTATGCACCATACACGATATGTATGTTCGATTCCAAAGAAATTTGGAATATGTAATGTATGGATTTTGATTAGAAAATAAATTAGTCAAATTATATTAAAATCGGTTCAGATTTGGATATAGCTCCCATATATATTTTCCGCCGATTTCACATATTTGATGCACCCAAAGCGAGAGAGACAAAATCTGGCACCAGAAAAAATTGCCAAATTATATTGAAATCAGTTGAGATTTGGATATAGCTAACATATATATTTCGGCCGATTTTATATATGTTATGCACCAAACATGATATATATGACCGATACCAATGAAATTCAGAATGTATGGCGGAATTTGGTTACAATAATAAATGTGACAAATTAATTGGAAATTAGTTAAGATTTGGATATAGGTCCCATATATATATTATCGGCCGATTTCACATATTTGACGCACCAATTTCAATGAAATATGAAAGGTGTGGCGGAGTTTGGTGTAAAAGTATTTTTTTTTTTTTTTTGATTATATTTAAATCGGATCAGATTGGGATATGATTTTAATAACAACCATTGACCCACAACGCCTTAGGCTAACACTAAAAAACAACACAACAATTGGTTTGAAATACGCTTATTACGGCGAAGTATGTTGCTATCTCGAGTTCACTAATTGCAATAGAAATGCCACTCAACTTCAAAAGATTGCAGTTTACTGCACGCTTGGTATTTGCTATGAAATAAATAAATCCGAATGACAAACCCTTCGTGTATGTATGTCATTTTGGTTATTTACGCATTAAAGTAGTGCATTATATTTTTTTTAATTTTTAAATTTGTTTTTTTTTTTTTAACCAACATATATTCGTAAATAAAATTTTGAATGCATATAAAATCAAAAGGGGTAGCGAAGCGCACCGGGTTCAGCTAGTAATAAATAAAGTTTAAATAACTTTTTATTAAATTTCATAAATTTGTAGTTTTATTAAAACAATGTTTTTTTTGCCAGTAGTCGGCACCACTTGTCAATTGTCGGTATGGCATGTTCTAACAGTCGGTATATCAATTTTTTTGCAAGCATAATTAATAATAATAACAAATTAATTCATTAAAATGCAATATTTTTGTTAAGTTAAACTGATTCGACGTCTTTATTGTACTTTTCTTAAGAATATGGATTGTTGAGGACCTTCACAGACAAAAATTTAATTTTTATTAGAATAACTCATCTTTTCTTAGCGAAATTGTGTACAAAGCAGAGATGGGCATAATGCACTGTATTTTTAGTGCACTAATAATTTCACTATCACTGTTCATTTAGTGGTAGTGCAATTTCTAATTCCACTACCACTAAAGGGTTAGTGGTAGTGAAAAATAAATAGCACTACCACTAACCCTTTAGTGATATTTAAAAAAAAATTGCACTACCACTAAATTTTAGTGGTAGTGAAATTTCAATAGCACTACCACTAAATTTAGTGGTATTTAAAAAAACTTGCACTAAATTAGTGGTATTTCATAAAAAATAGCACTAAATTAGTGCTATTTAGAAAAGTAATCAAATTTTATGAATATGTGCTATATATTCTGGATTGTTGTTCCCTACTCACTTCAATAATCTTCATTGTAGCTGCTATAATACTTATATACATAGTGCTTTTTTTGGCTTCGCTAAAATTTAGTGGTAGTGCAAATTTTTTTTGAAAAATCACTAAATTTAGTGGTAGTGCTATTAAAATTTCACTACCAGTGCAATTTTTTTTAAATATCACTAAAGCGTTAGTGGTAGTGCTATTTATTTTTCACTACCACTAACCCTTTAGTGGTAGTGGAATTAAAAATTGCACTACCACTAATTATTTAATTCTTAGTGCACTAAAAATTTAGTGCAATATGCCCAACCCTGGTACAAAGATACCTGGCAATATATTTGAGGTAAACAAAATATATTTAGTTATAATAGTTTCATTTATTTGGACTTAAAAATAAAAAGTGCCGACTACTGGGACATGCCGAACTTAGGCACACTTACCCTATATACATTGTGGGTCTAAGATCCTTATTTTGAGTATGATTCTTGGACAGACATAAAATCAAAAACCCTTTTTTATACGAGACATGGAGTGTGCATAGTGTACATATGGATCGTATTTGCCTAACACAATGGTGAACTCATTGAGCTAAGCTTCCATATCTGATTTAAGATTGATGCCTACATAGCGACCATATATGTATGTAGACATTAAAAAAAAAAACAATTTAAGTAAAAAAATTGGGATTTCCCAGCATCAATATCACAACATAAATGAATGGAGTGCATAAAGAATGCCAAGAGAGTAATAATCTACATTTTTAGTTGAGAGTTGCATAACTGGTTAAATTTTTTAAATAGTTTTCGAATGAGTCATGCTGAAAATATCAAATTGAAGTTTCTTTTCAGTTTTGGAAGTACCTAACCAACAACATGCATACTACCTCAACTTTATTGCTAACTGTATTTCAAGGTAACCACAAGAAAGTTGAAACATTCCAGACTGGCATTTGAAAATTTTCCCAGGGCTTTGACCGTATTTCTTTCTTTCATTTATTCTTAAAAATGCAAATCACTGACCTGCCAACAATTAAGACTCCCCTTATTTGCTTGTCGCCGACAACGAAACGTGCTCAATCAAGCAAACTGGTTATCACATTTCTCTGGCTGGTAGGGTAGTCTGTCTCCTCAACGTGCTCGATACAAAAGCTATTAGCGTTGAGTACAAAGAGACAAGTGAGTTTGAAATCAAAACGTTTGGCGTTTCATCAAATGAGAGTAGATAAAATGAGTGTTATTTTTTAAGAGATCTACCTCTTGCATCTCCGGCTCTCTCGACTTGGTGCCCCACATCAAATTATGGGACAAGCCCACAAAACGCAATCATGTGAAATTCCAGTAATGAATGAAATGAAATTGTCTGGAGGCAATAAAAACTAATAAAATACCTTTTGATGGGATTTTTTCAAAAATATTTTGTCTGGTTTCAAATAAAATCCCCTAAATTTGACATATTTTTGACAAGACAAATTACAGCCACACATAGTTTTAATGATCTGGGTTTTTCCACAATTTAAAGTAGCTACTGTTTTAAATTTTATTAACACCTAATTTTCCCTTTCATACCGAATTACCATATCGACAGATCGACCGACCTATCATCCAACAACAATTCCGGCAAACCCCAACATCTGTCCCACAAATCAACGCATGCAACTAATTTCCCTTGGGAAGTTTCCGCAAGTATTTATGGGGAATTCTGTTGAACTAACCACCAGAGAGATTCTGAAAATCCCCCAAATGCTACTCTCTGCCTCATATACTCTCTTGTTGTTGTTAGTGTTTACCTATAGCTAAATGAGAAAAATTGGGGGGCTCCTCTTTGTATTCGTGTCGAAGAGAAACAAGAGGAGAGAGCTTTTCAATGGGTGTGCATGTGAATGTGTTCGACTGTTTGTTGCTGTTTTTTTCATGGATTTCTTGTGAAATTCAATGGAACTGGCGTCTGCTAAGAGAGCTGGCGATATAAAAGCTGGCCCTCTTTGCCAATGGGTATTCATTGTGAAATTACCACTCAAAATTGAAACAACAGCGGCGGATAGCCAAGTAAAATCGTATCGCAAAACAGCAAAGTAAACGTTTAAAGTGAATTACAAAAACAATTTTGCGCGAAAAGAATTTCATAACAATACAAGAGCAAACAAAAACAACAAGAAAAAGAACTGAAAGCCATTGAGCAAACAGCAATAGTTGACAAAAGCAAAGCAAATAAAAAAAAGTCTATTGAGACCAAAAGCAAACACTCAAACACCCACAACAAGCCCCGTGTTGTCGTCAAGTGTAATCGGAGCAGCAACTGAAAGTAGTTTTGTGAAAATTGATTCATACAAGGAGAAGCATTTTAATTGCAACAACAAAAACAATATGGTCGTGGAAGCTATGCAGATTCAATCCTATCACCAACAACAAAACCCCCAAACCAATTCGATGGATTTAAAAATGGATTACGCGAAAATTGGACGCACTATCAAGAGTGCCCTGATGAAGGCCCAGACTGAGTCTCGTGTCATTGTGGGCCTGAGTGCCGCCATCAAAGTTCTATCTAAGGCCCCTGAAGGTTCACTCTTCTGCCTGATGGCTGTGCCACAAGCCGGCGACTCTGCCACCCACATGCACGAAGTGCTGCTGGAAGCCTTTTGCTATGAAAACGACATCTATGTCATCAAGGTGGATTGCCCCATCAAATTGAGCCGCATTTTAGGCAAAACCAATGTCGAGTCCTGCTGCTTGGTCCAGAAAACATGGACCGGCGAACAGAATGAAGAACAACTAAACAAACCCGAATCTCTACTGGTTGATTTCTGTGAAGCCAACTGGGATGCTGCTGAGAATCCAGTGGTGGAGCTGCCCAATGTGTGAGCCCTTTTGCGGTGTTAATCAGCAGTACGAGGGCATATTTGAACAATTCCCCATATCGTGTGGGAATGTACCTTAAACTACTTGAGATTATGATGACCAAAAAGAAAACCAGAGAGAACGCTGAAAACGTTTGGACTTTAAATAGTTGCTAAGAACAATTCGAAGATTACCCTACACGATGAACGATGTATAATCTTTGTAGCCGAAGCGACAATCCGACGTTTATGGTGTTCATTAACAAACAAATAAATTGTAATGCCAATATTTACAAAAACCAACAACAACAATCTACAATACTGGAGTATATATTATTAAGAACAAAAAAATAGCAGCAGACACAGCCGCCAACATAACGCAAGGTTGATTACATTCTCCAGGAAAACTTATAACAGGCAATTGCTGAATGCAGCTGTAGAGACATTGCAATTGCCGCAAAATTTATTAGACGTACTACAACAACAACCACACAACAAATTTGATATTTCATCATTAGCACGAGTCAAGACAACAAATCTCGTTTTAAGCGATGGACTTTCCAACCCCTACCTCAGCCAAGGGGCAAAGGCAGCAGCAGCAGCTCTAGTCTGTAGGAAAAAATATATAATAATTAATTAATCTTAATTAAATCTAAGCTAAAAGCAAACTTTTTTTTTTGTTATTAAGCCTCTATATTTTATTTACGAAATGGAAAAAAGCTGAAAAATAAGCAAAAACATGTTATTGAAATATTAACGGAAAAAATCGATTTCATTTGTTATTGTTACCTTTTTTTGTTGTTATAAACAAATAGATTTCATTGTTTTCCTTGGAAATAATTTTTGTTTAACTAAATACGATTCAAAATTGTAATTGTTATGTTAGCTTTTCGTAGGCATTCCATTCTTGTATTAAGAAAACAAAACAACAACATTTTTATAAATAAAAACAGAAAAAGAAAAAAAAAACAACAAAATAAAAACTGTCTTATTATTGAATAAATATTTAGCCAAAGGGTGAGGGGGAATGTAAAAAAATAAAATAATTAAAATTCCGCTCACACAAAAGGTCGTTCAATCAAGCTGTCTTTCGAATCGTCATTGGTTAGGGTATTCCTCGACGAGCACATGATACATGATATAGCAGCGACCTTTGAAACGTAAACATTGAATACCTAGACGAAATAACGGACGGACAATCATCGAAAAATCGTAATTAAGAGTAATGAGTACGTTAAGTACACGCTATAGAGAGAATGTCTTCATTCAATTGCTTGCGGGACCGGGGCAGAGGTTGTTACAAGAGATTTTTGTTTGCATTATTTTTGCTGTAGACTGCTTATACACACACACACACACACACACACACAGAACTGCACACATACAGAGATACATCAAAGGGGTCAATAGACTTGAAGCGTTGAACAGACAATAGAAGGGCCACTTGTGGATGCCTCATGCTACCGCCTAGGTCATTACAAGAGGCTATTTACATTCATTGTCAAGAAGAGACGTAAGCAAGGGAATAGTTGGATGCCTAATTTTTTACCCCAAACTACAAATGAATAAGTATAAGGGAAATACATTTTTAGCTTTAAAAATTATTGTACTTGCAAAATGAAAAAATGAATGAATTAATGTACTGTTGCTCTGAAAGTATTTGTATATATTTTTTAAGCAATAAGTAAAAGAGACCCTAATTTTTTGAATTAAGTACATTCCTCTATTCCATTTGCACTACTTTCGGTCCCAGCTTTACTATCAAAGGTACATCAAACAAGTAAAAACGAACTTTTAATACCCCATCATTAGGAAAAGAAAATCTTTAAAAATAAATGAATCGGGATTAAATATTGTGTCCAATTCCATTTTTGCCAGTAAAAAAGTTTTAAAAATATATTTTAACAAATTTGGTATCGCGTGATATAAGAAACTGATAGATTGCATATTCCTATCAGATCTCTGGTGGAGAAAGTGTATGAAATTTGAAGATAATCAAGTGCTTATTTTGCATTTTATGAGATATATAATTATTCAGAAGAAGCGGTCCAATATATTTCATCTACGTACCAGATCTTGTATTTGTATTTCAGATTCTATGAGATTCTATAATTATTACAAATGTTGACCCTTTGTGAGGGAGGTACGTAATGGGGTGGGTCGATATTATCAATTTTTGTATTTGATGATTTAGCCACATTTTTCAATGGTGTTGTCTGAAATTCTACACAAGGAGTTCTTCGTGAGCACTTTACCCCCTGAAAGAGAATTGTCTATATAGGCCCACAATGTCGTATATCCCCCATATAACGGCTCATTCTGATATTCGGCATTTTGATGATTTCAGCCACATTTTTGAACGGAATTGTCTGAAATTCTACACAAGGAGTTCTTTGTGAGTACTTTACCCCCAGAAATAAAATTGTCTCTATAGGTCCACAATATCGTATATCCTTCATGTATCGACACCTTCTGATATTCGTTATGTTTAAGATTTTAACTGAAAATTTTCCAAATACCCGACCGAACTTACTACTTTTTTTTATTGTTTTTTGAAAATTCGGATTAAGATCATGAAATCTTTACATTTTGGGCTTGACAGTATTTCTGATAATATATTTTTTTCCTAAAAAGGATTATATTTCTTTTTGTCTTTTTTTTTTTTTTGAATTCGGAGTACATAATAGCTTTAAATCTTATATATGTATCTCCAAGAATTTATAAATATTATATACATTATGGTGTTTTGATTTTAAATTTTAATAAAGAGACCAGACCAGAGGCTGTTGACTTTTGTACGTTTCTAATCTCAAAGTCAAAGGATGAAATATTCTACATAAAATTTCATTATGGGAGTCTGAAGCATAAAATTTTGAGATAAAAAGTAACAAAAAACTTCGTATACTTCACTCTATGAACATTTTTTTAAGAATATTATATTCGAAATACATATATTAAAAATAAAAATTATATTTATACGTTTTTCGCTGCCAATTTTATACATTCCTAATCTTATTTAAAATCACCAATAATTTTAATTTTTGGGGAAAGTGTCAAATAAAAAAATATTCGAGATCATTATTAGTCTATCCAAACTGCGTTTTAGGCCCTTATATAGCCTTACATTTACAATTTGATATCTATCATCATTGATTTAAAAATTAGGTTATACGATCTCCGATGTCAAGTATTTCTTACGTTTTTTATTAATATTTTTTTATTTCATTTCCCCAAATGTAGGTATTTCAAGTTCTTGTCAAGTTTAAAGCTAACTTGCAAAAAATTATCAATGCTGTTCCACGCTTTGTATCAAAAATGCCTAATTCTAGATATTGGAGTTCTTGATTAAATGTTTCAGTTCAGTAGCGCCTACATACATTGTCTTCCTTATTACGCCTCTAGTCATATGGTCCAGCCTCTAATCATATGGTCCAGTGATCATAACGTACCTATCGAAATAATGGATTTTGTACCAAATCCGTTTTTGGAAATTTGGAGTCGATCTAGGGGTGTCCGCCTGTCTGTCTGGCTGATGCGACGATAAGTCACGAAGGGAGATTTGGCCCAAATCTGGTACATCGTAATATTATTAACAAACTTAGGTCGAGATGGGCTCCATCGGTCCACTTCTTCTGATACCTCCCCCACAAAACGCCGAAAATTTTAAAGAAAATATTTGACTGCAACTTTGCAAATCCTAATATTCGCATCAGTGCTAGGTCAGGTGCGAGAATGGACACAAATGGACCTTGTAGTAAACTTTTTAAATCCTAATATTTCCATCAGTACCAGATCAGCTGTGAAAATGGACAATATCTGCCCACTCCATTAAGTTCTTCCCCACCTAGGGATCTTAGGGTCAAAACCCTCATAAAATGTGGAATAAACTTCCCAATCGATTCAGATTTCACGCATGTCAATATTCCTACTAACACAAGACGTATGTATCGGCCCGCTACTCCTGGTACCTGTAGTAATAATTTCTATACCTTCCACCATAGTATGGAGGGTATATTAAGTTTTTCATTCCGTTTGTAACACCTCGAAATATACATTTTAGACCCCACAACGCATATATTTTTGATCAGCATGAAATTCTATGTCGATTTAGCGATGTCCGCTTGTCCGTCTGTTTAAATCATTCTAGCTTCCGAACGAAATGAAATAGTTTGATAAAATTTTACTCAAATGTATATTTTGTCTACCTTTGGAATTGAAAATGGTCCATGTAGTTCCACGTTTTGGTATAGCCCCATATAATGGTTCCTCTATATTTTCAGTATTTTGGGGATTTAAGCGACACTATTCACCGGAAATGTTTTAAATTTGGAATTTGAAGTTCGTAATGGATGCTATTACAGAAAATTGTCCGTGCAGGTCCACGTCTTCTTATAACCCTCGTATAACGGTACCTCCCTATTTTCGGTTTTTTTTTTTTTGTGATTTAAGTGACATTATTCACCCGGAATGTTTCAAATTTGATATTTGAAGTTCGTAATGGATACTACAGCCTATGGCAAAAAAATGTCTGTGCAGGTCCACGTCTTCGTATAGCCCCCATATAACGGTAGCGACTTATTCACCCAAATTTTTCAAGTTTCGCATTTGAATATTGTAAAGGCTTATGACAAAAGTTTCATATGCAGGTCCACGTCGTCGTATAGACCCTTATAAAATGGCTACATTCGTTATTTTTATGATTTTAACAGAATTTTTAACGATTTTTTTTTTTAAATTACCAAATTCGTCCCAAATGGTGGAAGGTATTCAAAGTTCGGCCCAGAGATATACACATTTTTTTATTTGTTTAATAACAAAATGATTATAAAAGTGAAATAAACAACCCATTCTCTTTAAATATCACATATTTCAATGATTTTATTAAAGCCTGATATGGAGTAAAGTAAACAGATATTGATCCACTCCTTCTGGTACCTCACCCACAACGGAGCACTATTTCCCATACTTATATCTAAACCAGAGATATGATGTGAATTATGTAATATGGAATATATCGGTCAACTCCTTCTGGTTTTTGATTACCAATTATTCGCATAATATTGAAAACACATGTTAGAATTACTTTTAATGTTACTCATTCCAGTAGTGGAATGAAACAATCGATATAGTCAAAATCTGGCAGGTTGTAATATTTATATCAGACTTATGTCAGATAGAAATTCACATTATCGGCCCATTCCTTTGGAGCCTCCCCCATAAAGACAACAATCACAACGAAAGCAAAATATATTAAATTAACAAACATTGGCAGAGGGTATATATCCGTCAACAAAACCGACTAATACTTTTTAACTTGTTTTTCAGTACAAGTACATATCCCTTCAAAGAAAACTAAAAACTTAATACGTAATAATTTCACTGGCGGTCAAGGTTTCGCTGTTCGATTTTTGTCTGTTCTAGTGGGTGTAAATATAATTAATATTAACTGAACCGATAAGATAATCAAAATATTTATAACGCAATTTTTTCTCAATTCATTTAAACATTATATGCGTTTTACATCAGCATACTAACCAACTTTCTCACTTTCATTTTAGATAACTGTTGTGTGTACCTGTGTGTGTGTGTGCTGCGTACTTTTGTCTGTGCGGAAAACCCAGTTAAGGTAATACATCACAATATGTAAGTATGTATTGTATTACAAACCACATAAGCTCTGAGCATACGATGTGGTGTGTTAGGTTTTTATGTAAAATCGTTGCTATTTTATTGCAATGAAATTCCCTACCACAACATTCCCAATGCACACATCTGTGTTAGGGAATGTTGATGGATCACCTTTTAAAAATAATGGGAAATAAGACCATCAAGACTATTAATATAAGAGCACTAAGAACCGTTTGTCTTTTATGATATTTAAATTGTATTTTAAATATGACAAGTGTTTCAATTACCCGCTATTTTTAGGGTGGGAAGGGT